TATTTTTTCATTAAGTACTTTTTGAGTTATTTTATATTTTAATCTGACATATTTTGATATAAAAATTGAAATATCTCGTAAAATATTTAGTTTTCGATAATCTTACCGTAATACTTGTATGTACAGAATAATGAGACAAATCAATTAGTGTAAAGAAAAAAACAAATAATTGTTTAAAAAAATACATTGTAAATAATTACATACTTTTTCTTAAAAACAATTATTTTTTTTATGCTAATTGATTTGTCTCATTATTCTGTACATAAAAGTATTACGGTAAGATTATCAAAAACTAAATATTTTACGAGATATTTCAATTTTTATATCAAAATATGTCAGATTAAAATATAAAATAACTCAAAAAATACTTAATGAAAAAATACTTTATTATAGTGTTTTGAAAAGCTCTCGAGATAAGCTATAAGAATATGCAATAAAAAGTAGGCAGTTCCATTTAAAAAATTGAAGGTGACCTTGCTTTTTTATGGAAAAAAAAATGTTTGGTCAATTTTTATTATTGCAATTTGTTGCCGGTTAGAAACTGATAAATTTCTGTTTATAACTTTTTTATGTCAGATTATTGTAAATGCCTTAAAAATTGTGGCGACCGTTACGAGGACCACCCTGTATATACAGGGTGGTCCATTTTAAAAGAGCCAGTCAAATATCTCGAAAAATATGGAAGATACGGAAAAACGTTTTAGACAAAAGTTGTTTGGTTCGAAGGGGGACATAAGATAGTGCCATTGATGTGACCTTCGATAGACGAGCGACGGCTAAAATTTTTTGCAAGTTACTCAGAGCCATGTCCTTGACAACATATGTCAAGGTCATTGAAATCGATGAGGTCGGCGCTAATATCAAGGTTTACCAAATTTTTTTACAGTAATATACACTTTTCACAACTGGCCCATGTACTTGGCGCCTTTTTTAATCTTTTTTTTAAGTAAGTTTTTAGTTATTATAAGTATTACTTTAAAGCTAAGAAATGTATATACCTATAGCATACAAATTAAGTAGATTTATTTTTATATTATTTTTTACGTTCATAGGCAAAACTCGGAAGTTACTGTTTTTTTCATTGGTTTTCCCTAATCATTGACTGACAGACAGAAAATAGCAATGTCTGTTTTTTATTTATTTTTTGTGTCAATAAAATTAATATTGTATTATACTTTTTAAATATGTAGAAACTACAAATATAGTTCATTTATAAAAATTAATTAATTTTATGTATTTTTAAATTACTTAAAACGTTATATTTTATGCACATGTATTTTCACACATAATAAATGGAAAATACAATGAATAAAAAATACTTTTATAAGTAAATTAAATGAAAAATCAAATTAAATTATGTTTAATTTGTACTTTTTTGCTTAAAAAATTTATTAAATATGACCAGATCTTTTCTCTGAATTATTTATTTGTATATAAAATTAAATTATATACATAAATGCATAGATACATACAACAAACATATATACATATACTTACCGATTATTTGATGTATAATATTCAAGGACAAACTGATAATAACAATATTTTGATGATTCATTATCTTTGCATTCACGTGCACATTCTTCTGGGGTTGAAAAATGCATGGAGTTCTGATGTGTTGAAATAGTTGACTGATTCCAGAAAAAGGATGCTATTTAATATAATAATATATTTTTTAAATAAAATGTTACATTATTTTACAAGTTTTATAAGTTCACATTAAGTTAATTTATTTAAGGAAATGAATTTTTCATATTTTTGAAAAGACTGTTTCAATATAAGTGTATACCAATTGGACACAATGCTTATTGGCCAATTGAAAATGAGGACCTTTCATTGGCCAATTTTGCTGGTTGCCCTAGGCATTAGTCGATAAGTGATTGTGTCCAATCGCACTGTATCCAAATGAACTTCTCCCTTTCGATATAATCTCTAACATTACATAATTTGACGAGAATCGATTTATGTATAACGAATTATGACTTTATCAAAAGAGAAGTTTAACTGTATTTTTGCAAAAATCAAATTATTAATAGATTTTACTGCTTATTCTACATAAAAAAATTGTTAAAATAAATTGATTGTGTAGTAAATAATTTTTTATGACATTTTTCCTTACTACTTCTATACATATGTAGAATAATGCGAAAAAAATCAATTTATGTGAAGAAATGATAACTTTTAGTTCAAAATAATATGAAATATAACGTCTTAATTTACAAACATAAAAAATTTTATAAATTTCAAACAATATCATATATAATGACAAATATAATATATTTTTTCTTTATTAGAAAAGTAAACAAGAGTTTTTATTTTTTGCAAATATAGTTTTAAATATAAACTTAGTTTAAAACTTAAAGGGTTTACCTTTACAAAACTGAGCATTAATGCTTATCAAAAATATCAGTACAATTGCTGATGCAGATAGCGGCATGATAGAATAAAACCAAAAAAATCGCATATTTATGATCGCAAATAACAATATTTTCTGGACACAGTTTTGATGTGCACTTGCTTTTTTATCCGAATTTTACGGAACGACTAATATTACTTCTAGAAGGGACTTAATTTTTTATGTAAACGTACGCTTATCAATTCTGCCGCAAACTTGTAAGTTTATCACTTAAACAACTTTTTATTCACAAAAGTAATATTTTTATCTTAGTTTGTTGATTATTTATCGAATTTTAGGCTAATGCAGAGTGCGTTATTAACATAAGCTCATTTGAGATACATTATTGAAATGCGATAATCACATACACACACACACACACACACACACACCTATATATATACAGGGTGTCCGATAATAACCGTATCATCATATGCAGGTAGAATAGGCGAAACCGAGAAGAAGAAGTCCTTTACCATTTTACGATTTTTGTAATAACTATTAAGAAATTAATTTTAAAAAATCGGCCAATACCCAAAGGCACATTTATACGTACATTTATACGTAATAACGGCGCGATGCTTCGCAAGTTGATTAATTCTATCACTGTTATACAATTGATTTCATTAATAAAATTATTACAGATCAAGCTTCTGTAAATAATAGAACTTTTTTCATAACAATATTAATAATACTTGGTTAATTCTGAAATTTCTTTTAAAAGTATAGTTGTATAAAATGCAATAAAAGGTGCATTTTGTTTGACACTATTTTCACTTTGAAGGATTAATTAGGACGAAGAATCTTACACTTTGAAGCGAAACTAGCTTGAAAGAGCACACGCAATATCATGGATGTATTTGACGATTATGGCTTAAAATAAATAATAAAATTAAAAAGTTAAAAGAGGCTCAAATGATAAATATCAATAAATATCGATAATTATCAATTTTCTTCTTATTGATTATGGCTTACAAGGGAACCTCGCGAAACCGAAAATTCTGATTTTGATGAAACTTTACAGACATGTAGGGGGGTCAATAGATGAATTTAGAAATTTTCAGTTGCTGCCCAAAAACGGTTCTAAGGGGTGAAAGCACCCCTCATATATAAAGCGGCTTTTTACTTTTTTCGGTATATCTAAAAAACTATTCGAGATATTAAAAAATGTTTTATACAAAAGTTTTAGGGTAAAAACAGCTCTATTTAACAACATTAATAAACATTTGAAAAAACTAGTTTTTAAAAAGATTTCTGAAAAAATTTTTGTTTTAAATTATTTTTTCGAATTCTTATTAATGTGGTTAAATAGAGTTATTTTTACCATGAAACTTTTGTATAAAACATTTTTTAATATCTTGAATAGTTTCCGAAATATATCGAGAAAAGCGAAAAGCCGTTAGACACATAAGGGGTGATTTCACTCTTCAAAATCGCTTTTGGACGGCAACTGAAAATTTCTTAATTTATATATTTACTCCCTCGACATGTGTGTAAAGTTTCATAAAATTAAAATTTTCGGGTTCGCGAGATTCCGTTTAATAGTAAATGACTCTTGTAATTTACAGCTCGATAATAAAGACATAAGATATACAAGGTGTATCATTTTAAGTGATGCAGCTGAATATTTCTTAAAGTAAAAGAGATTGGAAAAAATTTTTCAGACAAAAGATGCATGATTTCGAAGAGGCCACATGATAAAAATATGGACTTGACCTTGAGTGACCTTTTCAAGGTGAGGTCAATGTGATCGATGTTTTCTTAAATGAAACCCCCCACGTTTTATTGCATATTCTTGTAGCTTATCTCGAGAGCTTTTCAAAACACTACAATAAAGTATTTGTTCATTAAGTACTTTTTGAATTATTTGATATCTTAATCTGACATATTTTTATATAAAAAATAAAATATCTCGTAAAATCTTTAGTTCTCGATAATCTTACCGTAATATTTTGATGTACAGAATAATGAGACAAATCAATTAGTATAAAAAAAATAATTGTTTTTAAGAAAAAGTATGTAATTATTTACAATGTATTTTTTTAAACAATTATTTGTTTTTTTT